TTTATAATTCGAAGACTTTTGTTTAGATTGGAACAAAAGTAATCAGAAGATGCAAGGTCAGGACTATATACGAATATAGTGGATATGGCAAAACATTACAACCTACAACCTACACTAATCATAATAGAATAAATCACTGATTTTTCAATCCAGGCCGATTTGTTTCAACTGCATTGTTTAATTTCGTTTGGTTAAATGTAAACTATACGAATATAGTGTCCAACAAGCCAAGGTCTAATCATTTTTGCCGAGTAGCCAAAGATAAGTGATTTCAATGATGGAATAATCATCGTTTCGATTTGACAATCTAGGCCGCTTTTTTAACTGCATTGTTTAATTTCATAAGTTGTTTAATGTAGACATCAAAATTGATCATTCGTTCAACAATTCAAAGCAGACAATGCTGTTATAATCAACTTCAATTGGACGACCAAAGCGTTCTTCATCTTTAAGTGAGAAATCACCAGCAGAAAAAATTTGGCAAACCAATTTTGATACTGACTTTTCTTTTAATGCTTCGTCACCATAAAACTCTCATTACATTTCGTGAACTTAAAATGCTTTTTTAACTTTGCAGAGATATAAAAAAAAAATATAATAAAAATTTCGATTTGATTTTCCATTTTTCAACGACGCAATTTCAATGAATCAAAAAACTTTTATTTACCGATGGACATCTAAACTGCCTATTATCCATTAACAAATGGTACTTAACGTTTGGACTATGTCAGCAAATTTAAAAGCTCAATCGAAGCCATTTAAGCTGAAAACCCGCACTTATTTACTTGCCAACCTAATGGTAATGAAAATATGAACAAAATTAAAGGAATTGTTTATAAAGCTGTAATGGCAAAGAGTTACATTTTTTTAGAACTTCACTTTTTTTACTGACATTATTGAAAATAACAAGTAATACGCGAGAAATAATCAAATACTGTTATTTAGATAGTAAACAAAATTTATTTCAATAGATGAGAAACCTAATTTTTAGTTTTAACATGTCAAACACATAAAATTTTCCTAATTCTTATTCTTTGACTTATTGATCCATTTAGTTTTTCTGTAGTTCGTAAAGTTTATTTTCCTCGACGAAGTTAAATAAAAGTTTTTTGTCAACTGGTACTCAAAGGCAAATAGCGCAATTAACTTTTTAAGTTTCAGCCTGGTTTCTAGTCAGGTTTTGCGGTTTGTGTTCGCGACTACAATCTTGAGATCCTGGTTGGATAAAAAAATTAAAAAAAAATATGCAAAATTTAAGGCTAGTTGTGAAATGAAGAATTATAGCTTCAAACTTTAGGAATAATTAAATTTCTAACTATCTAAAGGAGAAGTTTATATTTTTGCCAGAATATTAGACATTTCCTATGATGGCAAAGCGAGACAACTTTGTCAATATTCGCCCTGCTCTTCTTTTATGTTTTCTCGACGTTTCAAGTCATTCTGAATGGTTTGACCTAAAATGGGTACATGGTTTTGTGTACTCATTTAGTTTGGTCCAGCCATGTTACTGGGCCATTTAGTTAAAGTTTTGTTTGACAAATTATCATAATTACAATTTATAATGTCTATAACAGCTATTAATTCAAAACCTGAAAAATTATAACTTCAAGCTTTTGAAATAATTAAATTATTAACATTCCAAAAGAGAAGTTTATGTTTTTGCCAAAAAATTCCACAATTTCTATGCGATACAAGTTCATCCACATTCGACTGCTCTTTTATATATTTTCACGACGTTTCAAATCATTCTGAAGCGTTTGCTTAATAAATGAGTGTAAATATGTTTTGTGTGTAGCCATTTAGTTTGATCTAGCCATGTGGCTTGGCCATTTAGTTTAAGTTTTGTTTGACCTTTCACAAATTATCATAATTGCAATTTATAATGTCTAGAACAGCTATTATTTTTGATTTCTAGTACATATACATATACACACAACATTTATTACATTTATACAAATTTATTACATTACATTTACATTGCGATACAACTTCGTCAATATTTATCGATGACTATGAATATTAATGTATTTAAATGGATAATAAATTTGTCATAATAAACGATAATATGTAAAGTTATAATATTACAACAAACAGTAATAGCAATGTTTGAATATTAAAGGTTTTGGGTTATGACGTCATATGACGCATTCGCTCTCTTTCATATTATATACAATATTCCAGTGACGTGGGTGGGTATAAATAATTGTGCAAAATGAAGAATTAAATGATATATAATAATATCCTTAAAAAAGTGCTGAAATTTTTCGTTTTTATAAATAAAATTATCATGCAAATTAGTAAACAATTCATAATTTTGATTTTCAAAGTTTTGAAAAATTGAAAGCATTAGAGTAGGGCGGGACATGAAGGTCCAATTTGACTTCCAGTAATCACACCGTCTGAACAAAATGAACTGCAATTTTACAAAACAATAGCTGAATTGATTACTCAATGCAAAATAAAAATTTCATAAGCACATTGTTACAAAGATTACATCGTATACAACATTGATTTTTTTTATTATTTACACTTTTATCAGGGTAAAGGTTTAGTTGGTACTTTTTACTTCATGCACATGTGAGCTATCATAGAGGTTATGTGCAAACATCTGTAGAAATTAACTTAAAATTAACAATACGTATTATAAAATATTAAATAACATACCTTACAAATTATATTAAGGTCTCGTAACGTAAACAGCATTTACAACCAAAAAAAACAACTTATAGATTTTCAAACATGGCCATTTATCTCCTAATAGCGACGACGACATAAGAATTAAGTGTTGGCTGGTTATGCATCTTTTGCTCTCTACTTTCAAATATTGTGGTTAAAAAAATTGGTGGTAGACCTTTTTACCAACGAACTTTTGCTCTACTCTACACTATACTTACCCCGCGGGAAGATAAAATACTTAATGAATAGTTTAGACATTTTTAAAACTTGTAGCAAAAAGGTTATTTTAAACATAATTCTACAATACAATCAAAATTTTCTTAAATCTTTCATTTTCTAAAATATGTTAGGGCAATGTTATAGTTAATAAATTATTTTTAATACGATTCTCTTTTCCTTCTAATGTACTCCTCTTCCCACGGATTTAAAAAAATTGCAATTCTGTAAATAGCTTTAAGTTGAAATTTTAATAGCCGTGTTTTAAACATTTATTAGCTCTCGTAGCAAGTTGAAGTGTAAAATATTTTTATATCCTTAAACACAATAAACTTTGAATGAGGTAATAAAATGTGTAGGTTACGTCTATAATTTTCTGGAACATAACGCGGAAAATATTACTTCATCAAGTGGTTGTATTTGTAGGTACTTTCATATTATGCCAGCTTGAATTGGTTAGTTAATTAAAACTTGATATTAATTTTTACACTACCGTATATAGTGTTGCAAAGGCTTGTATTTCCAAAAATAGTTCAGGACTATTTTTGATTGATTCTGAAGATAAATTTTGCCAAACTTAATATGTTTACTTGTTTTTTAATATGAAACTATCAAGTATTTACCATTTTCCAATCTTGATTAGATGTCCTAACTGGTAATGGAACATGCCAAGGCAAGCATAGAAAGTTTTTAGATGGCGGCAAGTCAACCAGTTTTGAAAGTTTTGAACTTGTAGTCTTAATTTTAGAAAAATTGGATCAATTGTGTCATTATTTTGGATGAAAAATTGGATCAATTGTGTCATTATTACGGTTAAGATTCCAAAGTTAAAAAAAATCAAAAAACCAACGACATTAACCGAAAATGGTTCACAGGTTCAACAAAGCTCTAGGTTGCACTTAAAAGCTCATAATTTTCAAACTGAATGGATTTTATTCAATTTTTTTCATGATAGTTACAATGACTAATGTAGCCCCGTTTCGGCTTGGCGTTGAGTTCTAGAGCTTGACATTGAGTATATATTAAGTTACATTAACTTTAAGATAGTCCGCTCTCAACCAAAGTTTCTATTGGAAATAACATGGATAAAAATTCTATTTGTTTTTCAGAACAAAAAAAAAAAATCTAGTTTTTATGCGATAAAAAAGAATAGTTTTGAGTCAAAACTTTTGACCATTCTTAAAAAAAAACAGCTTTTAGCAAAATAAAAAGGGTTCTTATTACATCTATGGGTAGTTTTTAGTATGTAGTTTGGCATGGCCTGCTTGCCATACCAAACTTTCGCGAGTATGTTGGCCAAGAGCTTGGATATTCTTATTTAAGTGATCCTAACATTTTTAGTGCAAGTTTCCAGTGTGAGTTTTAATTTGGTCGATTACCTTCGGTACGTCAGTCAGTTCATGTATTTGTTGAGTAATAGTGCTTGGTCAGTGGGCCTTTGATTTGTTGAGTACTAGTCGTAAGTCCTTATTTTGTACAGTCTGTAGTCTTTGTATCCATACTGAGCGGCGTACAACAGTATCGGTCTTATTAATGTCAAGTAAATTGTCCGCTTGTTCGGCACGCTCAGCGGGCTGTTATGGTTCAAGAGAGGTTTCAGAAAATTATATAAAGCTGTAGACTGTAGGGTTTTATGTCGATATGTTTCGTGAAGCTGAGTCTATGCTCTAAGGTCACACCAAGATATTTGATATTCTGTGGACCATTCAACTTGTAACTTCGACAGTCACTGTAGTGGACTTATAGTTTTTTGTAAACAAAAAACCCTCAGTCTTCTGTGGATTGATTTTGATTTTCCACTTGTTCGTTTGGTCTGTCAGTGTATCTATATGTCTCTACTTTAGCGACAAGTGAATCAAAATTTTGACATTGTATTTGCTTATTTGGATCATAAATAAAGATTCACAACACAAATTGATATATTTGATTAAATAAGTATTTACTTAGGAGAAGAAACTTTTGGCTGGGTGCAGGCTTCTGTTCAGGCTATTTTAGAGTTAATATTAATATCTAAAACTTTTAGAATTTATTTTACCAATTTGAGCAAAAATGCATAATATCCATATGAAGGACTAATATGGTAATAAAATATATATTTTTTTTTTCAGATGCGGCTTCATGTTCGGTGAGCTGACGGACAAAGAGACGATAGCTCGCGTCGACGCTGCTCTCGAGAACCAGCAGCACGATCAGTTCGAAATTTTACTCTACAAGAAGAACAGTAAGTGTCTTCATTCAATATTTTTTTAAAACAAATGAATTTTGACTTATATTACTTTTTTATGCCAATATTATTAAACCAAATTGCTTCTGCTAATCTTGCTGCGATGAATTAATTTGAATTTTCATTAAATTATAATCGAAAGAAACATTGGAAAAATTGTATGATAATTGTTATAATATACTATTATATATACCTTTCATCGCATCTAATAAAACCAATTTCAATAACTCATATTAGCCCGCTATACAGTAATAATTAATTTAAAATAACAGTTGCATTTTGCATTATTTTATATCGTACTGATTTTCCAAGTATTTTATTTATATTACATAAATGATTTAAAGGTTACATTAAATGAATAAACGAGTTTTCAAATCGATTAATAAAGTCTATTACTATTACTATCAGTAAATTTCAACAATCTAATTATCGTGCTCACTTTCTATAATTTGCTTATAATTGTAATACATATTAGTTGTTTTTAATTTTAATAATACAATTGAAAAATTAATAGGTTCTCAAACTTTTTCGTATACTGAACGTTGAGACTCTCTACTATAGATAGACCACAGACAGATAAATTCTCTATAGATAGAACCCTTGACATTTAATTTTTGGAAGTAACTTAATAACTTTTTATATAATTAGTATTAAAAACTTAGAAGAAACACATGTTATCATTTTGATATAAATTTATTACCTAATGAATTTAAAATAATGAATTAAAGTGGATGTGGAGTGATGTTAATTTTAATATTAAATTATTATCAATACATTGCGGTCTCCATTTTTCTTGTGGAACACTTTTTTTGCTCAATGTTTAATCCGTAATTATCAACGTAAATTGCAAATAAATTAATAATCTGCAATATTTCAATAATAGTATTTTAATGAGCAATACAGTTTGTTTTTTGACATATTATTGCTAAATGCATTTCTATTTTATATCCTACAAACTCAACTGATTTGACTAATATAAGAAAAGTATTTGGAATAGTGGTACTAATCTGATTAATGAAGAAATATGAAGAATGTAAAGTAGAAAATTAATTACAAATTAGTAAATTTTGAGAAAAAGCTTCTTGGACTAGTATAAGTTATTGACTAAGGTTAATGCAAAATAACCATTTTCTAAATTATTTCTCTAACTATATATTTTGATTTTTTATTTCGACTACTAAACTTATGAGAATTATAAAAGAATGAAATAATTCAAAATTGTATTCAGCATTCCTGATACAATTTATATATTATATTTAATTATATACATTATTTATGTATAATGTTATACATATAATCTGCTTGAACAATTTCTTTGAAACTATTTTACTATTATATAAACATCTGCATTAGCGCTTTTTAATAATCTATGCTGTACATACACCACCAGGTAATCTAGACTCGAGTCGAGATTCATATCTTCATTACGTAGTTAAGATTATCTATATCTCTGAATTATCTTTATATTCTATCTTATGGCATTTTGTATCTTGGACGATCGATTTTACTGCTCATGAGCTATCCTTTTCTAAATTCTATCATATGATATTTTCTTTCTTCTATTATTTTTTATACATGGATATGCGTACTTATACATATATATATATATATATATATATAAATATTTGCATATTTATATATGTACGTACTTCAGGGTGGGTCAAATTGTTTGGAACCAAAAAAATGCATAGCGACCCTTAACGATTTTCGTTCTAGAATCTAATTAAGCACAAAAATATTTGAAATATAGTTTTTCTTTAAATATTTAAGTATTAACTTAGGTATTTGATCAAAATAGCAGAAAATATTAATTTTATAAATATTCTCAAAATTTCCAAGTAATTCCAAGTACTTTAATATTGAATCAAAAAGGCAAACAATTAATGATTTTTTACCAGTCAATTAAGCACGTAGTGCTTTCCGATAAATGGATTTCTTGATCCAAAGTATTATTTTATTTAATTTATTCCATTAATTTTTTCAATATGTTACTACCAGAAAGAGTTTTTCTTAATTTTTCTAGCTTCTTTCACCCCATTTGGAAAAAATTGATGAAATTGTTGCAAAAATGGTTGATTGGTGAAAGATGGATTAAAATTTACTTTATTTTACAGTATAAACTAGAGAAAGTAGTATATTCAAAATTGCGCTGACTCAAAATTAGCTGCTTAACTTTGGTTCTTTCGGTAAAGTTTCTTGAAATGCCCCATAAAACCAAAATTGAGATTTTACTCAATTGCCAAAAAAATGGACCCGCCCTGACGTACATACATATACCTACATATATATTACATATGAAAAGCTATATGAAAATACATATGCATAAATATACATATGCGTACATACATGCATATACATTTATACATACATACACACACAATATATATACCTACATACATATACACAAAAAATTTCACATATTCCTACGTATACAAATTATGCTTATATACATCATAGATATATATATATATATATATATATATATATATATATATATATATATATAAATACACATATGCAGACATATATGTACATATACATCTTTATGTATATATATATATACATATATATATATATATATATATATATATATATATATATATATTAGAGTTGTCCTTAACAAGGACATTTTCGAATTTCTTTGCTCCCAAGGGCGTGAATGCTTCCAAATGAATAAAAAATGAATTTCTAATAGTATTAGCTCTTAATATAAACATTTAGATAGAGCGCACGCCAATTGAAAGTTTTTTATATTTGTTATTAACATACGTTATTAAGTAAATTCTTGCGCCATCTGTATAGTATTCGTGAACTCCAATATGATGACACAAGAATATTTATAAACCATTTCATCTCTAGTACATATGCATGTTAAGTTTGCATATGTAGGTACATGCATATGTATTCGTATATGTTCATGTATATTTGTATATATATAGTATATATTATATACATGCATAAGAACGTAAGTATGTATAATTATACATAAACATGTGCACGTACATATATGCATATACCTGCATATGCAAACTTAACCTGCATATATGCATATACAAACATACAAACATGTATGTACATACCTATACATATACACATGACCTCCCGATTACAAACATAAATAAATACACACACACACATATATATATATTTATATATATAAATATATATATATATATATATATATATATATTAATATATGGAATCTCGTATATGCATATGTATATGATCAAATTTTTGACATGTGATGCTCAAGACAAAATTTAAATATGTATTTCAAATTCTTTATTTATATGAAATTTCATTTTATTTCCTTTCACTTGAAGTAAGATAGTTATGAAAATTATAACAAATTTTTTACTAATTTAATAATTAGTTATATGATCTAAATTATTAATAGTACATAAGCTATATGTAGGTCAATATTATTTGGGTAGTAGTTTTTGTTTGTTCAAAATATTTTTTTTTTCAAAATTATCTTGATTCAGGTGATTGGCAAACTTGTGTATGTCTAATTGTTTGTCTCTGTATATATTGTTAATAAAATTGCAATATATTTGTGATATATGTCTATGTCCGTTGTCTCAAATTTTGTTCGATTATGTTTTTCGCTCTCTCGCACTCTCAGGCCGGCGAGGTAATTAAAAGAAATTGGTAAAAAAATATTATTATTATTATTATTATTAGTGAAATATGTAATAATAATAATAGAAATGTAATAGCAAATATTACACAAACACATAGAATTAATGACAATTAGATTAGCATGAATACACATGCATGGTAAAAAAAAAGATTCTAATTAATTTATTTTTGGCACAATCATAGGAATATTTATTGGCTAAAAAATACTATCAACACTCGACTAAAATTTACACAATTAAACACTTAAAAAAATGATTGATTCTTAAAATTTAAAAAAATATTCGTCAATCGATTCGATTATTTTTCAATCAGGCAAAATCATTAAAAATGTATCTCTATAAATATTTACAAACAAAATTAATTTAATAAAATGAGAAGTCATTTATCATTATGGGATAATTGTTGTATAATTGGCTAGAAGATTCTATTAAGAAGCAAACACCATGAACTTGTTTATTATTAAAAATTAATTTAATAATCCAATATTACTTATCTGGTCAAAAGCACTAAATTTAGTTTATAAACAATTACAAAAAAATAATTTAATGAAATAAGTTGTCAATTAACGTATCAATTGCTAACTGTTATACAAGCAACTTAAACATGGTAAAAAATTGATAGACCAGGGTTGGACTTTATTAACTAGTTCATGAAGAATTCATTTTTGTTGAAAGTAGTTTACAAAAAACGTACACATAAAAATTGCAATTAAAGTAAAAAAAACTTGTTACTCTGAATAGGAATTTTAAAAGGAAATATAATTTTGAAATAGGAATATTTATTATTATGAATACGAACATTGATATACATGAAAATCACCTATCAGTTGTGATTATTAGTTTTATATTCATATATGGTCTTGATATAATCTTGATATTCATATATAAATATTTGTAGAATGTGAATTTACAATATTATTTTAGTACAATTATAATTTGTCATAATGTCATAATTATTTTAATTTATCAATGAGAGCAACTTGAAATCACAACTTAAAAGCAGATTTGTCATTAGACTGAAATAAGGATTTTTAAATAACTAACTTAGACTGAGAAAAGAATTGTTTTATTAAAAGATTTTATAAATTCTAATATTTTCTAAACGATTCAAAAAAAGTAAGAAAAATTTAATATATACATCATAATGTCCATGAAGGCATAAGTTTGCCTTGGAGTCAATTAATTAAAGTTGGATAGTACTTCCAAAAATGGCAAAACCTTTTAAATGAGAATAGTCGAATTTTTACTAAATATCATTATATACTTGATCTTGAACTATATATAGAAATATATATTGTAAGTAAATAGTTCTGAATAGTTTTTTTTTTATGAAATAGCTACTAAAATGCCAACCCATTAAAAACTCCCCTTTATTATTCGATTTAATAATACAAAGTGATGCACAAATAGCAAAATCTTACTGGCCATTTATTGTGCCAAAATTTTACTTTTTTTGTTTCAAAAAGATTATCTAAACCAATATTAATCTTCATTAAATGTACACATCACTAGGGTGGTCCTTAATATGGATGTTTTTTAATTTATTTGCCCCCTGGGGTCAAATGCTTCCAACTTAATAAAAAAATATTAACTTAATATTAACTTTAAGATAATCCGCACTCCAACAAAAATTTCTTATGGAAATAACTTGGGTGAAATTCCATTTGTTTTTTAGAATTATATAACTTAAAGACAAGTGAATAAAAATTCTGGAAATAACATAGTATTAGCTTATTTTGATTATAAGAAATTTAAAAATGTACAACAAAAATTTGATATATTTTATAAAGTAACTATTTACTTAGGAATAAAAACCTAGAAAGTTGGAGTGCCAACTATCTAAAAGTTAATATTAAGAGCTAAAACTCTCAGATAATTTTTTTTTTTATAATTTGGGAGCCCCTGGGAGCAAGAAAATTCGAAAATATCCATATTAAGAACCACTCTAAACACATAAATATATATATATATATATATATATATATATATATATATATTTATATGCATATGTATTTGTAGCTATATGTTTTATATAATAAATGCATGTTTGTTTTCTGCACTTATATGTGTTTCATATTGTTTGCTGTTTTGCACTAATAGCGTAGAGGAAAGTAGTCAAATATAAATAAGAAAAATAATAACTGATAACTAATTTTTTAAAAAAATTGAAGAAAATTACCGGAGATTGTTTTTCAAAAAAGTAATATTTAAAACATAGCTGAATTGAATAAGACCAAATTTGAAAAAAGTATGTGTGTGTAAACAGATTTTTACCTTGAATCGACGTTTTCTCAAAATGTTTTTATAAAACTTTTTTTTGACAATAGATTTTATGATCTTATTACGGTTCCACAACAAGTAGTTTAAATTTAAAAATTCATCAAAGTTCAAAAAAATATTATTGAAAGAAAATTTGATTGAAAATCGCAAAGTTTAGATTTAATTGAAAGCGAAAACTTGATTTTCGAAATAAACAGTGGAAAATGTTATCTAAATATCTAAATCTCAATTTCGGTTGATAAAGTCAATCATTACATCTGTCGGGAAGTTTTTGCAACTTGCTTTAAGGAAAAATGCCACTTTTAACTAGTTTTATTCTGTATTTATTATGTATCGTTATATTTTTCAAATAACATGTAAAAAGGAACAAAATTATGCTCTTCCTATATATTTATATAATATAGCAGCTACATAAATAGAGATAAAATCCTGTTCATAATTGAGAGATTTGCTACGATTCTAATGTAGATCTTTTTAATTTATATATTTTGCAAAAAAGTACATCATATTAAAATTTGATCGATTTCGGTTGAATTTAATCATTAGTTTATGCTATTTACTGTTAAATTTACCGAATGTTAATTTTTCAGTTAGAGTGAAATAAATGTTTTTAAAAGTAAGATGACCATATTTTTTATCTTCAAAATTAATTTGAAAAAAAAAATTCGTTCATTTTTACAATTTTTGTTATTAATTTCTGAAAAACCGAGACATCCAGGACAAAACACCTAAATCAGGGACAAATATTGCTTTTAGAAAAACCCGGGACACAAGATTAAATCCGGGACAGTCCGGGCCAAACCTTATGTGTCACCTTAGTAAAAGGGCTTATATATAGCTTTTTGGTTTTCAATGACTTGTGGCATTTATAACTGATGGATAAAATAAGACAAATAATATTTATTGTTTATTATAATATATTTATATACTAGTACATATTTATATACTATTTCATTTGCGGCTATTTTCCTCTGCATATTGCTACACGATTTTGCATGTTTGTGTATCGTGCTTGAAAATGTTTATGATATTGATATCCAGCTTTCGAAATAAGTAACTTTTATTGCTATTTGATCTGCATTTCTGAAATAAGAAAAGATTGATAAAATATATTTCTATCCGCAAATCTAATATTATAATTATAGTAAGAAAATTGAATTATTTGCTGATTTATATTGCTCATAAATTTAAACTGTACATATATATACATATATGTAAAAACGTATAACCCTGTAAAAACTCATAACATATTCATAAGCTTAAATGTTTCAAACCAGCAGCCTACATTACAAACATTCATTTAATCATATATATGTTTAATTATAGAATCAGGTCTGTTTTTACTATATTTGCTTTGCATATACATATTACTATCTAGATTGGTAAAATATCTGCACAATCATATTTAGATAAAATAACCGATAATATGGCATTTTGGACCAAAGTACCAAAAACTTAGGCAGCTTTATTGTAGTTGTTATTAACTTTTATACAAAAAGTTTTTGCACAGTTTCTGATGATTCTTGATAAAAATAATATTTTCACTATATAGAGAGATTTTAATATTTGGTATGAAAATGAAAAAACAGACCTGATTATAAATAACACTGTTTTTTTCCACAAACACATACATATTTTTTTACAAACAATGAATGAAATCAATGTTTAGAAAATTAATGTGTTTTTGTTTTCTTCCCTTAGGTACTCCAAAAGGTATGTACCCTTCATTTATATACCTTGTAGTAATTAACATGCATAAAAGCACTTACTTGGATATATATGATTACAAATATAATATACAATTTATGGCAATATATATATATATATATATATATATTGCCATAAATCTGCATATAAATTCAAGTATTTGAGTATAATCACTTCCAAAGTTTGCAAATACATGTTTAGTACATTCATGGCATAAATAGTGTTTTTAGATTTCACAAACTTTGTTCAAAATTATTTTTATAATACAAATTTCGGTTAGCTATGTAATATATTCGGCAAAATTGTAATACAGTTTTGCAAAATTTTAATTTCTGAAAATTTGCAAACTATATACATGTATACTAGTTTATTCACTATAGTTGCAATAAACATAATATATATTTAAATAAATTTATTTAAATTTTTCGAATTATTAGCGTAGTGAAAAAGCGATACGCAATTCTAACAAATATATATTATTTATATTTATCAATTTAATTTATCATAATCTTCGATCCAATGTAATTATTCAGAAGAATTAGTTGTGTTTAAAATCAATTAAAAATTGAAATATGTGATCTCTTTAAACATTGTATCTATACATCATATAAATCCATACTATATAATAAATTTCCCATTAACAAATAAGATATAAACTTCATGAAAATGTCCTTTATTTCTTATATACGACGTCCTTGTACAGATGGAGATGTTTATCACATATGTGTATCTTTATGTATATATATATATATATACATATGTATATATATATATATATATATATATATATATATATATATATATCATACATATATAAAATTCTCTAAATATAAGGGCGTATATTGTCAACCCCAAATCTTGGGTCGATGACCTTGCTACCACTACAATTTCGACTGATCGATATATTCGTACTAATGTACATTTATATTATATGTATATATATATATATATATAATATTAAATTATGTAATAATAAATGTTAAGTATTTTTCTTTCTAATTAAATAATTATTGAACCGCTAATGATAAACAAAAACAAAAATATATTTTTAATATTGACTATATATTAATCAATACTAATGTTTCAAGGTAATTTTACGTTACTATCGATTATTGCGTATTAATTTAACTCTTTATGCATTATATATAAATTAAACATGCACACGTTCAGATTTTTTAATACAGTTGTAAATTTTGGCATAAGACTTTAACATTCACTTTAATCATTACTTTGCCTTGAAGTAAAATATATTATCAGTTGGAAAAACGTAAAATATTAAACTATATTAACGATACCAACCTTGTTTTTAAGATTTGGCCATTCTCAAATTATGGTATGCTTTTATATTATTTGAAATCTACACAAATCTAAAAACATTATAAGGGATTCCAGCTTTCCGAGCCTATTTTACCTGAAATTTTGCTAATAATTTAATAAATTTAAAACTTTGCTAATAATTAAAATTTAAAACCAGACATACGACGTGGATATTATAACATCCCACTTCAGTAAGATGAAAAAAAATTAAACGGGTCTTACTTGGGACAATTTTATTTCAGCATATTTAAAACATTTTACAACTTGTTTTTACTATTTTAACTTATTAAATTGTTGATAAACAATTAACTAATTTAATTTTTTGTATCATTATAAATATAATTTATTAGTTTAATTTTTCATAGTATTAATTTATTTATTTCTAGTTTTCATAATGCTACTACGGAAATACGACGATTACCATACCTGCTAAATAATCATCTTTTGCACTTATAATCAGTATGAAAAAAATGGTGCAATTAGTCACTTCAAAAAACAGTCTTGAAATTTCATGTATAAAAAATTTCTGATGAATATAACTTTATATAAACTGCGTACAAATAATTTTTCTCGGCTCATAACTCTTCAGATTCACTCGTAAAAACCGAAATATTAAAAATATGGCTAGTATAATGGTAAAAGCCTAGTTGCAGATATTTTTTCAATAAATTAATCAAAAGCTAAAAATATCCTTTGTCGTTTTTTAATTAAATTTGAACTTTGAACGCTTGATGAATAAGCTTGTAAAAAGAGATGACACAAAAACTCATATGTTGTGACGCCATTGCAAAAACGGCCTCTGGAGTTATATAAATATCGCTTGTTTGAAAAATAAAAACGATTTATTTTTAGTGAAGTTTTGAGGTTACGAAATAATAATTTTAACAAGTTGAGAATGGAAAAAACGGATAAACTGATATGATGTTTTGGTTTTTAATTATATTTATTTATCGTTTTCACTAATTTTTTTATTCATTGACTACCAGTAAAAGTCTGTTAATTAAGTAGCATATTTCAGCAGAGAATTATTATTATGTTAAACAACGCCTAAATACATATTGTTTTCACAATTTCATTTATCATGTAATTGTGTTTGAAGAACTTCATGTAATTAAAATTAACATACAATCATTGATTGCTCGTTTTTTTTTTAGTTTTCGCTGGCCATACAGTTTCATTCTTTGAACAATTGTAGTATCTGTCTTGCATATAAAAATAATTTCCTTTTTAATAACCTCAAAAATATATAGTAACCACGAACAATAGAAATTACTTCAATAAACTTACGTTTCTTACACGGCACAGATTTTTCATTTGCTTTATTTTTGCACTATAATTATTTATAGGGGACGGAATAAAATATTCTTTTGATCCAGACATATTTTATTATTTCAAGATTTCTACTAATATTTATCCTTAAAATGTAATGATATGAAACACCGAAAAATGAACAATATGCTTCACGCTTTTGGTGACGTACGCACGTATAAAGTCACGCATATAAAGAAACCACGCACAAATACGACCAATATCGACGACCAATCGACCCGTATAGAAATGATATCATCGAGAGCGAATGACGAATCATTGGCACTCAACCTTGCCGTAACGCACTTCCGTTGCATTTGTACGGAGTTACACCCTAGTCGCGCCTAAAGAAGTTTTACTTCAAAAAACATTCTCGAACTAAACTTTTTAAGGTGCAAAACGAATTTGAACTGATTATTGTGACAATGACGCTCAACATCTGACAGGATTGTTATAATGGCTTTCTTCACGTTATACTGCGGCGGAAAAGTTAATAAAACTAGTCAATTATATAAATTATATATATATATATATATATATATATATTCTGTAAATACTCCATTACCTCTCGAAAATTATTAATATTCTTACACTAGATATTAATATTAATGAATTATGATAATTAACCACGAAAGTGCTCGGTTCATAAGATCTACCAAATTAATTATTTCGTATTTTGCGAGATTTTAGTGCCCTCTTGTAAAGTCAATGGTAGCCTAAGTTATTCATGATTTTCATATTCATACAAGCAGGGCTCATTTTAATATATATTTATATGCATACGTATATAGAAAAAATGGGGTCATCAGTTAAAGCAATTTTTCAAATTCTTGGATTAATTAATTTTATAGAACAAATGGAAAACTGAAATATTATGCAAATCATAACTAATATTTTGTTATCCAGTAGAAAAACATCAGGTCACTCATTTATTTTTGAATGATAATTTAACTTTTTGAAAATTCGCGGAGTTTACAAATTCATTTTATATTTGATCAAAACTAAATTATCGAACACTTAGTACTCTCAAAAGCAATATGTAATTATGTGATGTTTTTTGTGAACTTAAATCAGAATTTTATATTTTATCTAATGACTATTATATTCTGGATATACTTTTATTAGAAGCCAATTCGGTATTTGTTCTTTTCTAATTATATTGGCATTATAACATGTTACAAATAATTCGCAGAACACAACCCAAATGAGATATTGTACTTAAAAATAGGAAATAGGGGCTTAAAAATAGGATTTTAATTCGCATTACTGAAATTAAATATGTGACAGAAAATCTATATTGTATATTGATGTATATTAAAGTTCTTAGATGTATTAGATATACAATTCACAATTTTACAATTAAATAAACAAAACAACCAAATATAAAATACAAATAAAGGAGTGTTAAACTAATTCAATTTTGAGTCTTGATTTTATGAAACTTGATATTACGTCTTCGTCGAGAGCATCTTCAAAAGTTGAGGTCCTGTATATCCATTGATTTGCGAAGTTATTAAAAACTTTAGAAGCTTTTCTGAAAAAAAGCAGTATCAGAGACGAAGAAAAATATTTCACAGCTAAGTAATACTCAGTTATAGCCAAAAATTGCTGTATTTGTAAAATATCACATATAATTAGTAAATAATAGATATTTATAATATGAAGGGGATGGTACCACTGTATTTCTTGAAGTCATAATTAATATATTCAGAAATGTCATAAAAACTGTTGGCTTTTAGTAAATTAATCAAAACATTGTGGAATTTATATTTGCTTATTATATTGAACATGACGGGGCACAAAGGTCCAATTTGACTAATATCACAACAAATAACATGTATGAAAAAACAACTATCTGACTATGTTCAATAAAATACCCAACATTCATCGATGTAGAAATGTTTTTTTTGCTGTTTTACCCCATAGGCAACCAATAGATCAACAGGTCCAATGTCTTATTTCTACTTACAATAGATACATTATTAAATCAATGTTGTTCAAATTTCTTAACTGTACTTGTTTTTGAGATATAAGTGAAGGATCTTTTTATCCGCGGACCTTTAAGCCCCGCACTCCTTTGATTGTAGCTTAAATGATCAACAACTTGTTATTCAGAAACAATTAATATTTAAACATAATCCTATTTTTTTTTCAAAAAATCTAGTCTTGGCGCCTGTGATATCTTTATTCCGACCGTTTTGTCTGATAATAAAAGTAAAATTTTATTACCTCATAAAACTTCGATTTCGTGCAATTGATTCATGTCTTCAGCCATTTACAATTCTTTATTCTACGTGATACTAATTTGTAACAATAATCATTGTAATATAACAATAATTCTAGTTTATTATGCAAATGAGAAATAAAAGTGATTTTTATCA